GTTTATGGAGGGGAAGAGACCCAGCCATGGGGGAGAAGCCCCACAGCTGCCCAGGGGGCCCAGCGAGGGGCTCAGGAGGGCCTCTCCCTAGTTGCTCCGGCTGTAAAGACAGGGAGGAGGGAGAATTGCACCTTCAGAGCTGCCAAGTTCGGCTGCAGGAAAGGAGCAGAAGCTTCTCTGGCCGGGTTCCCTGCCCGGAAAGGCTGACCTGATGTGGGGAAGAGCCTTCTGTGGGAGGGAGGGGGGGAGAGGTGCAAAGCCACCTTTTCCTTCCTTCCTCTTTGGAGCCTTTCTCGGGGGGTCTCGGCACAGCCGGGCGTCCGTCTGTGGGCTCTGTGGGGGGAGCGGCCCTTCCGACGTGGTCTCTCTTCCAGACTGGCGGCCATCGCCCTTCTGTACCTGGAGCAGGAAGACGCCTTCTGGTGCCTGGTGACCATTGTGGAGGTCTTCATGCCCCGCGACTATTACACCAAGACGCTGCTTGGCTCCCAGGTAGGCGTGGGAGGAGCTTCCGCTGGAGCTCCAGGCCTTAAATCCCTTTTGGGGAGGGGGAGACAAGTTGGAGAAAAAGAGGTCCTCCCCCCCATGAACAGCCTGTTCCATCCAGCGGGAGAGGGAGGGAGGGAGGGAGGGGGGACTTCAGGTTCTGCAGCTGCCGTCCTCCCCTCCCAGGTGGACCAACGCGTCTTCAAGGACCTGATGAACGAGAAGCTGCCCCGGCTGCACGGCCACTTCGAGCAGCACCGCGTGGACTTCTCCCTCATCACCTTCAACTGGTTCCTGGTGGTCTTTGTGGACAGCGTGGTCAGCGACCTCCTCTTCAAAATATGGGACTCCTTTCTCTACGAGGGACCCAAGGTAGCCCCACCCCCACCCCCGAGTGGGTTCCCGGGGGGCCTCTGGAGTTGGGAGGGGATCCCTCCGTGCGCCTGGCTCTCTTTTGTGACCGAAAGCTCCTTGGCCGCCCAGGTGATCTTCCGGTTTGCTTTGGCCCTCTTCAAGTACAAAGAGGAGGAGATCTTGAAGCTCCAGGACTCCACCTCCATCTTCAAGTACCTGCGGTCCTTCACCCGCACCGTCCTGGATGCCAGGTGAGGAGGCCGCCTTTGCTCGGCCGTCCACAAAGGTTTTACTAGGAGGAGCTTCTGGTTTTGTCTTCCGTGGGAGGGAAGAAGAACTGAGCAAGAGAAGCCGGGCCTTCTCCAAGAACTTGGTGGGGTCCAGGGAGAGATCAAGTTCACTGAATCCCAGCCCACTTTCTCTGGGGGCTCCAGCTGCAGGGGGGGGGGGGGCTCGCTTTCACTGAAAGTGCCACATTTGAGTCGGCTCTTTTGCACGGCCCCCGATGAGGCCTCCCTGGTGTTCCTCCTCCTCTTCCTCCTCCAGGAAGCTGATGGGCATCGCCTTCAGGGACCTCAACCCCTTCCCCCTGCGCCAGATCAGGAACCGGAGGGCTTTCCACCTGGAGAAGGTGCGCCTGGAGCTGCTGGAGCTGGAGGCCATGCGCGAGGACTTCCTGCGCGAGCGGGAGACCCACCCGGACAAACGGGACCTGATCAGCGAGGACGAGGAGGACGGCTGAAGGGAGCCCGGGGGCCCCTTCGGTGTGGGGCTTTTTCTGCAGCGCAGAACCTGGAGGAGATGGGAGGGCAGAGCTCCAAGCCAGCCTTCCACCAGAGAGGCGCTTCCTGCTTCGGTCGTCCTTCAGGGCAGCCAGCACTTCAGACTTCCTCCCAGGGGTTCCCTCCCTTCCAAAGCCCCCGAAGGGCCCCCAGACGCAAGGCCCAGAGGCCCCTCGTTTCGGGCCAAACTCTTGGTCTTTCAGTTGTGCCATTTGGGAGACTCTTCGCTCCTCGTCTTAAGAAAACGAGCCACGTCGCGGTGCTTCATCGGGTGCCGGCAGGTTTTGTGTGGCTTCAGAGACCTTCCAGGGGGCCACCGCTCAGTCCCCCCACCTGGGGAAGCAGGAGACAACCGAGGGGGTTTCTGGACAGCTGTCACCATCTCCTTTCTGGGCTCGGGTCCCCGTCTCTCTTGGAGACCACCGGGCTGAATGCCTTGAATCGTGGCCTAATCTTAGGCTGCAGCCGCGTGGCAGAAGAGGAGGCCGAATCCTCCCTGGGGGAGTTTTGCCCGACTTGTGGCTCCCTGGATCAACGTCCGTGTCCTCTGCTCTTGTGCCGGCCAGTCTGGCGTGATTCCTTGGAGGGGGGGCTCCGTGGGCTGCCCCAAGTGGTGTGACACAAGGGCCCCTCCCTCTGCGTCTCCCTCACCCAGAGGCCTCCCAGACGGTCAGCACTGAAGCCACGCAGGCACCCCGGGGCAGCTTGAAGATGGGGGGACGCCAACTCCCGGAATTGCTCTGCTGGCTGGGGAGTCCAGGGGGGGAGGCCCAGCCGTCTTCCAGCTGCCCAAGGTTGAGAAACACCCAATTTCCAAGTATTCAGTCCTCAATTCCTGCTTCCCTTTTTATAAAGAATCCCAAACTCCGTTCTGTATCTTATAGGTCAAGTATTTTATGCACAGGCAGAATGTAACACACACACGCACACCCTCCTCCTCCTCCTCCTCCTCTTGCAGTTTGCACAAGCTTCACAGAGGTCCAGTCTGTTTCTCTGCCTTTCTTGCTGGAGGCCCTAGAACCACACACACCCAGAGGCCCCTTCGCCCTGGAGGAGGGGTTGCAAGTCCCGTATCCTGTGGAGAGGGACCATCTCAGGCCTCAGCCGGTGCAACCCCCGGCAGAGGCTCCAGAAGACCGGGGTGGGGTGGGGTGGGGGTGGAGCAGCCTCTCTTCCACATGGGGCGAGTGCAGTCGGGGATCCTGAGAGTTCTTTGGGGTTCAGAACCCCTGAGTTCATTTGCCAAATGTTTGCAACCTCTTGAAAATAGAGCATTTCCTCTGTTTGATTCTTACTGATTTTTGATCTTCATTCCTGTCTGGTTTTGTCTGACCAATCCTAGTAAAAAAATGCATCGACCGCCTGCTGCCTTTGGACGTTTCTTTTGCGCCCCGGGGGGGCCGAGCGGGCTGCTCTCTCCTGCGCCCTTGGCAGAGGAGCGGGTGGCCCCTGCAGGCCGAAAGGTCCCACGCCAGGAGGAGCAGGGGCTGGTGGGTCCCACTGTCCGTGGCAGATGAAGAACCGACGTGGCCTGCAGGGTAGAGCCGAGCTTTGCCCCGACCCGGTTCAGCCTTTGCCACTGGAGGCCCTTCGGCTGGGGGTGTGGAGGGGCTGATGCCCTGCTAGTGGCCACTGAGCCCATCTGAGAAGCCCAGCCGGCCTCTGCCCCATCAGAGTTGCCAGGGGGCCATCAGGGAACAATGGTGGGCTGGGAGCCCAATCACCCGGGGGGGGGGGGGCTAGTGCAAAAGAACCGGCCTGCCTGCCTCCCCCCTCCCTGCACAGGGGCCCCTGGGGGGGTCAAGAGGGTGGCAGCGGCCGCAGTCCAGGCCAAAGGCAGGAAACGGGAGGAATTTTCTGGCCAAGGGGAGAAAGGAGCTTTTCCTGTTTGCGCCTTTTACCTACAAGCCTCGTCCCCACTTGGGTCGGCAGCTGTTGTGTCCACAGCCGGCCGGATGTTCAGGCTGGATTTGGCCCTTTTGTCCACTCACGGAGCCCTTCCAAGCATGGGCAGAGGTGGGTGACGGATGGGGCTCCAGACGGCTTTGCAGGATGGCAGCCGTTCCGAGTCAAGGCACCTTCTGAAACTGACCATTTTGTCAATGCCCAAGTGACGCTCGGGGTATTTGGGGGGGGGGGGAATCAAGGCAGGGGACATTCCTAACCCCAAGCTTTCTGCGCTTTAAAGCTGAAGCGGTTTTTAAGCCTGAAGAAGCGCTGCCTAATTCCTGCTCCCCCCCCCCCAGGACTGAAACCGGGAGCCTCTGGAAAGCAGAAACGACTTGCAGAAGCAAATGGCCTGGGGGGGGGGGGATCTCACGCCCAGCATTCCGCCCGTGGGAGCCTCTGGACGCCTTTCCTAAAAGTTTCCCTTTTGGCCCAAGTCGTTTGAGGGGAGGCGACCCCCTTCCTCCCACCCGCAGCCCCCGAGGATCCCCCCGGCCTCCCCTCCTTTGGGGGTCCCGGCGGGGGCTGCATCCGCTCGGACGCCCCCAAGGAAGCCGCCCTCCACAGGCTCCGCTGGGCGACCCCCGCCCATCAGGGACTGGCGGCCGGCCGGCCCTTCCGCCACGGGGCTGCAGGGGGCGCCCGGGACCGCCGCCCGCCCACCCGCCAGCCGCTCTTTCGCGCCCCGGCGCCCCAGACTGATGCGGAGGAGGCGGACGGGAGAGCCGCCACCGCTGCTGCTCCGGGCGTCCTGGGCTCGCAGTGCCGCGCAGGTAGGCTCTCCGGGCGGGTCTGCAGGTGCGCTGGCCCCGGCAGGGCAGGGGGGACGGCCGGGGAGCGGGAAGCCGTCGAAGGGCGAAGCGGGCGAACTGCTGAGCGGAGCTGCCGAGGGTCGCGGGAGTCCCGGCGGGGACGGGCCGTTTCTGCTCCCCAGAGAATCCCCGGGCGGGAGGCGGCGAAGGGGGTCGCCCCTCTCCAGACCCCCCCACCCCGCGGGAAGAGCGGCTCAGGCACCGCCGGCCATGCAGCTCAGTTGGTGGGAACCCCCTGAAGCCCAGGGAGGGGGGGGCTGGGGGGGGGCTTCTCCCAGGCACTTGCAAGGCAGCTTTGCCGCCGTGGCTCTTGCGCCCCCCGGGGCCTCGCCAGAGCCCTTCCTCCCTGGGGCCAAAGTCCCCTGGCTGACCCCGGAGCTCCTCCGTTGGAGGGGGAGACCCAGCACCCCCTCGAAAGGGAAGCTTCTCTCTTTGCCTTGTAAGGCGCTTCTGAGCCGCCCGGCTCGTTTCTCTTTCAGTTTGTCTCCTCTTGTGGCTTGAGGGCGTCCGAGGGACTCTGCACAGGGGGCCCAGCTGCCTCAGCCCTGCCCAGGCCCTTCGGGGGCTCTGCTCCCACCCTCTGCTCCCTAAGGCTCCCTCGGCTCAGTTGCTTACCACAGGCTGGACGGGGGCCCCATTGTGGCCCTCGCTGGGGATGTCCTGTGCTGGGACAGAGGAGCCCTTGGAGGCGTCACAGGCTGCGGGGTCTCCCAGGGAGGCGGCTTTGCACCCTGCAGGCTGATGGGACCCTGAGGCTGGGAGTCTCCTAGAAAGGAAGCAGGAGGAGGAGGCCCTCAGGGCCCCCCAAGGGGAACTGCCAACAGGGAGGGGCAGCTTTTGGCAAAGGGTCGGAAAGGAGCTGCTCTCTCTTGCCCCGACAGGCTGAAGCAAGAGACGATCTTGGAAGCGGTTGATTCATTTCCTTCTGTCTTGACTTGCAATCTTCCCCTGACTAGAGATCTGGCACAGGCTCTGTGGGCTGAAGCTGTCTCCTTCCAACGTCTGTGAAATGGGTGGGCGCTGAAGGGGGCACCAGATTCTCCCTTTGCCTTCTAGGCTGAAGGGCTGAGGAAGGAGACTCCTGGTACCAGGATAGCAGAGTTTCCGGGAAAAGGATCCCAGCCCAAAGAGGTCCCCGGATCCCTTCCAACCTTTCTCAGGGGACTTTCACCCCCTCCTCGTTGCCGCTTCAGAGGGCATCTCAGCCAAGGCGCCCTTGTTTTTGCCAGGACCGATCAGAGTCCTTCTGTGGTTCCTCTTTGGGCCGTCATTGTATTTTGCTTCCTGATTGGATGCCCCATTTTCCCCCCCCCCAATTCATTGTCCCTCGCTTTCGGCTGCTGCTTCATTTTGGTTCGGCCAAAGATAATCCCAGGTATTCTTTCAGGGCTTCCAAAAGTGGATCAGCCACATTTTAAGGAGATTAGAACAAAATCCATTTTTAAGGCCCCTTAAAGGGAATCTTCCAATCTGGCTGAGACCTTTTTTGTTAGCGATCCAACAGATCAGAGAATTGGGGGGGGGGCTCAGGCAGGTGAACGAAGGGGGTCAGAACTGGGTCATAAAAAGCTGGAGGGCTCCGGGGGTCAGGAGGGGCATCAGCACCAACCATGCTGCTGCAGGGGGGCCCTTTGCTGGATTAAACCCACCTTGGCAGAAATGCCTGGTCCTTCAGAGCCCCCCCCCCCCCAGACAGGCCCCTTCAAATAGGCTGCTTAGGTTATCCCCATTTCGCAGTTTGAAAACTGAGGCTAAGTAAGGAAGCTTCTCTGCCCCAGAGAGCTTCAGGAGGTGCCCAGGAAGAGATGCTGCCCCTTCTCTTTTGTGGCTCTGGTCTTCTGCAGCCCCCCTGGGGCCCATCTGTCCGGCGGTCTCCCCGAAAGGAGCCTCCCTCTGCAGGCACCTCAGCCTCTCCTGGCCAGGGCGGCTCAGGCGGGAGGGCCGATTAGGGAGACCCTGGGGGAGGAAGGGGCTTGTGACGAGGGGTGGGCCAGGGGTCGGGTCCCGGAAGTCAGCTTTGGCTTCCGCCCAGCCCCACCAGGCCAAGCAGTGGGGTGGCCTCCGGGGGGTCCCACGTAAAGCAGGCCACGTGGCCCCTCTTGTACTAATCCAGGCTTTTGTGACACTGGATTGTTACGATGTGAATCAGTCCAGGAAATGAAATCCAAAGGGGAGCCTGATGTTTCATGCAGGCCTTTCAGCTCCTGGTGGGGAAGCAGGAGGGACGTTTAGCCAAGGAAGACGGAAAGGAGCAAAGGCTTAAAAAGGCCCTTTCGCTTCCCAGCTTCTCTGTGGAGACTCCGGGATGGCCATCTTTAAGCAGCAGAAGGTGGACGACCTGTACGAAATCGGGGAGGAGCTCGGCAGGTAAGCCCCAACTTCCCTTTGGCCCCACCCGCTTCCAACCTTTCGTCTCAATTCAGCCACTTCCTTGCCGCAGAAATGCAGCCCCCAAGGTGGGCTCCCACGGGGTTGCCTGGCAGAGAGAGGCTGCGAAGGGGAAGGGAGAATGATGGTTGGCTGTGTGGAAGGCTGGCTGGTCTATTTAGAGAGCTTTGGGGCTGCAAAAGCTTCGGATGGAGAACTCATTTTTCTCTTGCTGGATTCTTGCCCGATATTTCAACACTTTGATGGGGGGAGGAGTGGGGGGGGGGGCTGAAAGATCCCTGAAATGCACCTTCTCAAGACATTCGCTGGGCTGAACTGGGCTGCGTGATCCCCCATCCTGGGCTCCCTGGGCAGAGATGGAAAAGCATTTTCTCTTCGTGGGAACCTGCAGAGCTTCTGGCCTTTGGGGTCTGAAGGTGGCTCTCTGGGGCCAGAGCCCCCGTGCTGTCGAAAGGAGCCAGCATCAGAGAAACCTCCTGCCTCCTGCTTGGTTCCTCCAAGGGAGCCTCTGGCGGGCTCCCCGGCGGGCATGTGGCAGCTCCAGGCGGTGACAGCTGCGTCTGGCCAGCGAAAGGATTGCCAGGAGCCTCCCGGAGCGAAGAGGCTCTCAGCCAGCGGCTGACTGGGTCGGGAAGTGGGGTGACTGCCCTGCCCGCCTTGTTCCTGGCACCAGAGACGGAGGCTGCCTTCTCCTGGCACAGCAGTCGGCTCAGACGCTTCCGAAAGGCCCCCGCAGGAGCCCCCGCCTGGCATGGGCCCCCGAGCCCAACCTGCCTCCCCGTGGAAGGGCGTCCACAGCAGGGGCTTCCTCTGGGGCAGCGGCCGGTCGGTGCTCCTTGCCCAAAGTTGTCCTATCACCTGGGGGCTCGGGGCCTGTTGCTGCTCCTGCCAGCGTTGTGAGCCTTTGTCAAGTGGTGGGAAGAGGAAGCCGCTCAGAGCATGAATCAAAAGCTTCTTCCGGTCCCCTGATTTCCTGAGCCCCGAAAGGTTTTGGAATTGCAGTTCTGCCCCACTGCAGGGGGCCCCTCCCTTGCCGGTTGCAGGATGAGCCTGGGAAGTTCTGGGGGCGCCCCAGTTAAGACTCTGCTCCCTCCAGTGGGCTGCCAGGTGTTGGCCAGAGGCTGGTGCAGATTCAGCAGCTTTTGGGGGGGGGGGCAAAGGGGGCTGGCTGCACTGGGCACTTGGGATGCGCAGCACTAGGACCAGGTCACCCAGGATGCCCTCGATGTCAGGGTTCTGTGGGCAGCAGCCATCCGGGGGTCCTCATGCCTGACTCTGGAGGGGTTCCAGGTGAGGCTGTTTGCAGTCAGAAGGTGGGCGTGTCGTGGTGGTGGAAGACTTTGCCACCAACTGTTGACCAAGGAGGCTCGGCCGGCCTGCCCTGCCCTCCTCCTCGCTTCCCTCCTCCTTCCCCCTGAGATGGGCGTCTCTCGCCCCACGAAGGGCCTCTGGGGCGGGAAAGTCCTTCCTGGCGTCCCGAAGGGCTCCACTGGATCCCGTGAATAATCAGTTAGTGGGAAGGGCCGGGTGGTTTGGGAGGATCCCTTCCCCGCTCAGCACCTGCCAGAGGACCCTTTGAACCCCAACCGACCCGCCAAAGGAAAAGCCGCGATAAGGGAGGAGGAGGAGGAGGAGGCGATGGGGCCAAGGTCAGGCTGGGCGTTGGCTGGCACCTGAGCACGGAGGCCGCTGCCGGAAGGAAGCCAGCCTGAATTGGGGCAAAGAGGAGCCATCCCCAGGCACAGTCAGAACACCGGGCAGGAGCTTCCAGAAGTGATGGGACCACAGTTCCCATCACCCCCCTTGCCAGGTGACTGGGCAACCCAAGGAGCCTGGTTTCCGGGGTGCTCATGTTGGCGGTTGGAGAGACGGGGGCTGCTTCCGAAGAAGCCCCCGCGGGGTCTGGCTTGGGAATGGTTTCATTTTCATTTTCACTTTATTTGTATGCCGCCCTTTTCCCTGGGGGGACTCAGGGCGGCTCACAGTTCAAAAGGGGGGGGGGGGGAAGG